TGTGGTGCAGAAAGGAGGTGGGAAGACGATACTTCAGCCTGCCAGGAAGAGTAGGAGATGACAGAAAATAAAGCACAAATAAATGCATGCCCCTTCGAATAAAGTTGCTGAGCAAAATAATAACTTTAAAAGACGGTAGATGGATTGCACAAAATGTCAAATCCATCTTATCCGCATGTTGGTAACTTTGGCGGGTTTAAGAACAGCAACCTTGCATAAGTGTAGACAGAACTACTTATATGCTCTTTGTAGAGCTAATCTTGTCCATAAGCTTTCTGATGGTTTTTATGAACTCAGAATAAGGATAATAATTAAAACAAATGCATAACTGGGTGCCGCATTAATGTAAAAAATAATGTACTAGTTGGTAAATGACATTATTAAGCAGGCAGAATAATAACGTGTCGCTTCTGACAATGAAAGCAACATCGCAAAAGAAGAAGACAATTAACAAATTACATTAATTACGGAGGGGGGAAAATCAGTTTTGTTTCCCATCACTAATAAAGTATTTCGGTGGACCCACAAGTCAGGGCGAGGGAGAAGCGAGCGGGCGCTCTTTGAGTCGGAACACGCGTGACTGCCAGCCCCGCAACCGCGCTCCCCGCTCGCCTGCGCGCCCCTACCTGTGTGGGTGCGCAGAGATTTACGCGGCTCAGAGATCCCATCCCCTCCCCCCCCGCCCCCCACCCCAACTGCAGTGGCCGTGTTTTTTCGCAGCCCAACTTCAGCGAACTCATCATTACATTTTTTTTTTTTCTCCCTCGACTCCAGAAGATTAACTAAAAGGTCCGTGGAAAACTTTGCGGTGTTATGGGGAGCGAGGGAGGAGGAAAGGACCGGAGGAGACGCGTATCACTTCATAACTCTCCACTCGCCTCCCGAGCCCGCTACACTGACAGGGTTTTCCACTCAGGTCGCGTAGAAAGTTTCCCCCGGCGATGTGCGCCGTCGCCGGCGGCGCGTCCCGGCGCTGCCTGACGGAGCCGGGGCTCCGCAGCTCTTCTCCGGCGGGGGGCAGCGGCCGCCCCGCTCCGCGCCGCCCGGCACTCGGCTCCGCAAGCCCCGCGCAGCGCGGCCGGCTCGCTCTCCCACAGAAAAAGTGGGAAGGCGAGCAGCATAAGGGAAAAGAAACCTATAAAATGTATCACTTGTAACCCTAGAATATGTTAATGTCAAGAGATACAAATCTGGTAATTATGCCTTTCTTGCCTGTTGTGTTCTCTATTGTTCATTAAACATTAAAGACGGGATTATTTAATTTTCCACTTAAAGATTCTCTCACGTTCCGCAAAATCATGTTAATTTTCAATCATTTTAAATTTACAAAGGACAAAGTTTTGGGTCTATAAGGCTGCCAATGAGCTGCCTTTTTTCCACCCCTCACATCGCACTTTTAAACGTTCTTCTAAAAATCGTCTGCTGCTGAGGGAACTATCAGGCACCGAGCAATAGAAAACGCCAAAGTTTTGGGGGATGGGTGGTGAGGGGGGGTGGGGAATGTTGCCTCACCAACAGCAACAAATCTTTTCAAAAGACGACTGGATGAAAACTGACACATTTCGGGTACTACAGCAATTGTGGGGGGAAATGCCTGGGCGAGGGGAAAGTGAGTCCTCACTCATTCCGGGCAAATATCTCAGCCAAACAGAGCAGTAACTAAGCCTCCTCACCTAAAAAAGTCTGAAAAAAAATGTCCCTCTCTGTTTTTGAAGAGGAAGTCCCATCTCCAGCTCCCTACTCACAGCTGCGGTGCTGAGGGTTACTTGAACGCCCGCAGATGCTCGCTTTCACCTGCACTCTGCCTACAGTCTAACGCAGCACATACACACACAGGCACAATGCGCTATTCGTGTGAGTCGGGTGCAATAAATCCCTACTTCTGTCGGAAAAAAACCCATGCTCAATTAATGGGCTCGTCCTCTCCCACTTCATATTGGAAAATTGCATCATATTTCAACCATCACCATTGTCTCCACGTGTTTTAAACAAGACACTCTTAGTGCGACAAAACTTTCAGCAAGGAAGGATGCACAGGAAGAAGATGCACTAGAATTTATAGGCAGTAAACAAGTTTTTTAATTGTGAAGCGGGCAATCATTGCAAGGAGTGTCGTGTAGACATCTCGCCAAACTATAGACAGAAAAACACAGTCGTCTAATACCAAAAAGAATTGATCTGGCGTTTCAGTGTTTTTTCCCTTAGGGGTCGTGCCGGTTTCTAACGAATACCTGCCCCACAGAAGTCGCGGATGTTGTGCATGTCAGCAAACTATCCGGAGTGGCCTAAACTGTCGCCTCTAACTTTATTTGGTTTGTCTACCAACATAAAAGCGGTGAATAAACCGAAAGCCCAGAGACAGGGTATCAGAACTCACGAGATAAAGGGAGCTATCAGCAGGGAAAGTTTACACAGAGAAGGCTCCCAAAGAAGCCGGGGTTAGTGTGTTTTAAGGACTAGGGCTGGATTACACGGGCTGGGGTGGGGGTATTAGGAGGAAATCCCTTTCACTGATCCCCGGCCCCATGCGCGGAGCTTCCCGCCTCCCTCCCGCTGCCGGCAAGCTGGGCTGCGCCTCCGCGCCCCTGCAAAGGCCGGCGCCGGGGCATCTCCGCCGAGCGCGGCACGGGGCGGGGGTCGGCGGGGCCGGGCTGCGACAAACATATTAGAAGGGGAAAAAAAAAAAAAAAACAAAAAAAAACCAAAACGGTGGAGGTGACCGCAGGAGCCGCTGAAGAACCCTCCCCGCCCCGAAGGAGCACATGCACAGCGCGGCGATGAGCCGCGCGACCGGACAGCGCGCACACTGCGGGCCCCTGCGCCGGGCGGCTCCGCGGCGATCGGCGACGGTGGGGTACATCCTAGCGGCGGCTGGCTGCCATGGGAGCAGGCTGGCCGCACTCCGCACCCGCCCCGGCCGAGGGGGAGGTGCGCAGGGACGGCCACGGGAAGCGGCAACTTGTGGCGGCGGCAGGGGAGCCGGAGCCGCTGCGCTGCGAAGGGGCCGCCCGCCTCCCCGGGGGACGGACGGGGCGGGAGGGACGCGAGTCGGCGGGACGGGGCAGGAGAGGCTCGACCCGGCTCCCCGGCAACTTGAAATGCGATAAGAGTGGAAAGCGGGTGGGGTGGGGGGGGGGGAGGGAAGTCTCTCCCCAACCCCCCCCTCACTTTTACAAAAAAAAGGGGGGCCTGGGAGAAAAGCCGCTGTTGGAAAAGTGCGTGCGGAGAGGGAGGCTCGGCGACGGCAGGGAGCGGATCGGGCTGCGGGGCTGGGGGCAGCCCCGGCGGCAGCCCCAGCAGCGCGGCACAGGAGGCGGAGGAGGAGGAGGAGAGTAGGAGGAGCTGCCGTGTGACCCGCTCCGCTCCCAAACTTGAAAGTTTATCTGCCCGAAATCAAGAGCGGCCGCGGTGCGCGCAGGTCTCCTTGGCACGGAGCGGAGGCAAGCGACCAGCGGAGCCGCCGCGCAGGGAGCAGCTGGGGCGCCGCTGAGAACGAGGCAAGGCAGGGGAGGGGGGACAACCCGGCGGCAACAACAACAGCCACCCCCACCCCCCAAAACTGGGAGACGATCCATACTATTTGCTGGAGACCAAGGACTTGCTCATCGGCGCACACGCGAGCCCGCTGTCATTAGCTAACAGGACACACGGCTGAGCCGGGGGGGGTGGGTGGGCGGAAGGGTGAGGAGTGTCACAAAAAGTCGTTGCAACCTGAGAGAGAGAGGGAGAAAGGAAAAAAACTTCCTACCAATGGACAACAGGAAGTGACCACCACCACCAACGGGGAGTCTCTGCTTGGAGAAAGAAGCTGCAAGACAAAGAAGAAGGAAGGAGAGGTGAAAGACAAAACTGCCCAAGGTCTTCTGCGTGTGCGTGCGTGCGCTTTCGAGAGCGGAGAGAACAAAAGTCAGCCGGGAAGGGGAGACAGAAAGAGCGAAGGGAAAGGAGACAGGATGGAGGAAGAGCTAAAGAGAACCATTTGAAGATCAAGGCGAAAGAGCAGTACAACACCGAAAAAGAAAGCACACCGAAAAGAAAAGGAAAAGGCATACACAAAAGTTTCTTTTCCTCCTGGGAAGAAATTACTCACACACAAAAATCAGATGCCTTGCAGCTCAGCTTCTGGGGAAAGCGAGACCGAGAGAGCAGAGGACGCAGAGTGATGTGAAGAAAGAAAAGGAAAAAAAAAGAAAAAAAGAAAAAAGAAAAAAAGCCGAGAGCAGAAAGCAGAGCAAAAGAAACTGAGAGACGGGGGGGAAGAAAGCACGACAGACAGAAAAGCGAAGATCGTGACCTTTCCCAACAAGTGAACCTTGCACATATGTTGTGTAAAGTGTGTGCAAAACAGATTCCCTCCTGCGTGGTGCGTGTGTGCTCCGCTGCTGCCGCCGCCGCTGCCGCCGCCACCGACGCGGTCGGTGCCTCTCGCAGGCGGCGCTGCCGGTGCCGGGGAGACGCATCATTTGGCGGAGCGAAGCGGCTAATTGCGGAGCCCCGTCCTTCATTTACATATGCAGCCTGAGTCCGCTGGAGCCGCGCCAATCCGCGCTCGCCCCCAGCACCATTAATCGCCATGCATTATTCACAATCATAATTACTGAGCCCCATGCGCGCTGCGCGCAGCCGCCCCAGCCCGCCGCCCCGCGCACACCCCGCAGCCCCGCGCACACCCCGCCCGGCTCATCCCCCGCTCGCTCACCCGCTCACCCGCGCACTCACTCACTCACTCCCAGTTTGGCTGGCTGGTTAGTCTTGCCTTGCCTTTTTTTTTTTTTTTTTTTTTTCTTTTTTTTTTTCTTTTCTCTCTCCGCTCCCCGGGGTGTTGGTTGCCTTTTCTGTTGTTTGTTTTGTTTGTTTTGCAACTCGACTTTTATTTGTGAACAGTTATTTGCAGTCCCCAAACCCCCTTCCTTCGTTCCCAGTTCCTTCCCCCCTCCTTGCCACCTCCACGTCGCTGATGCCTCTGCAAAAAGCAGAGTCAAGACGGCTCAGTTAGCAGCATGTCTCGTCGAAAGCAAGCGAAACCCCAGCATCTCAAATCGGACGAAGAGCTGCAAGCAGAGGTAGTTTCTGAGCACGGTAAGGGCTCCCGTCGCCTCTTTCTCCTCTCTCTCTCTCTCTCTTTTTGTGAGTGTGTTTCGGATGAAGATAGGTGAATTTATGGTGATGGTGAACATGGGAGCGCAATTACTCTGCAGCGGGAGAATGGGAATTAGAGCAGACGGGGGAAGAGGCAGTGGAACTGAGAAGTTCGCAGTTTAGCCAAGTTTCTGCAGCCCACCCCCTGCCTAAGCAGCCCTCCCAGCAGCAACCTCCCGGTCTTCCCAGGGCTTTGATCGCGGCTGGGCTCGGCGGCGGGGCTCGGCCCTCCCTCCCCACTCACCCGGGCTGGAGCAGCTGCAGGAACGGGCGCCCCGGAGCAGCGCCTGCCTCCTCCTCCTCCTCCTCCTCCTCTCCGCTGCGCTCCTTCTCTCTGTGTTATTGGGTATCCCCTTTTCCCCCCCTCCTGCTCCCTCCCGGCGGAGGCTCGGAGCGGACAGAAGCCATGTTTCCACTCGCCCCACCGGCGTCAGGAAAGTTGGGGCGGCCGGGGCCGGGGTGCCCTGCCCGGGGCCGAGGCAGGTCCCGCGGCGTCCGCTGCCTGCGGATGCCCCCGTGGCCCCGGGTCGCCCGCCCAGGCTGAGAGGGCTGCCCCGGGAGCTCCCCCCGTTGGCCCCGGGGGACCGGAGGGGACCATGGTAGGAGCGGGCAGGGCCACTCGGGTGCTCGGGGCCAGAGGAGTTGGTTTCATTATTTTCGAGAGGATTCAACAGCAGCTTTTAGCCTTCCCTCTGCGCTGTCTTCCCCCCCTTCGCCTCCTGGCTCTGCTGCAACTGTAATTATTATCAGTGGTAGGTGACACGGAGTGCCACCACCGCCACCAGCCCCTGTCGCGCCGGCTGTAAGCAGTGGGAAGGGGTTATTTTCTCACCCATCCGCCATTCCTCGCTTCCTCCCCACACGCAGGCACACGCACACTTGCTTTTATGCATCTGGGCTGCCAGGCTGCTAGTGAACAAGTGTCCAAAGCTGGAGAGATTTGGACTGTAATCCTGCTTTATTTCCACTTTGCCGTAATTTTCTTTTCGGGAATCGGGCTGCAGGGTTTTCTTCTTCCTTTTTCCTTTTTTTTTTTTTTTTTTTTTTTTTTTTTTTTTTTAATTTTTTAAAAATTAGTTTTAATTTCCTTAGTAGTCCTTGGCACTGCAGTAAAGTGCCTGTGTAAAGGCACACCACAGCCCATGCTCTCTTCTCCTGGACTAAGTTGAGAGCTTCCACTTGAAAGTTTTTCTTTTCCTCTTTACATAGAGCCCACTGATTTCTTAGTTTCTTGCATAACCAAGCAGGATCCCGAATGTTTTCTGCTTTCTGTGTAGGCCCCTTGCTCCACTATATTATCTCCTCTCTCTCTCTCTCTCTCTCTCTCCCCCCTTAGAAAAGGAAAACAAAAAAGTCCTTCTGCTTTAAAACTATAATTACTCTTAAGTTGCATATGTGGGGACAGAAAGGCAGCAAAGTTGAAGCTTGAGGAGGATTTTGACTATTGTATCTGAACTTTACAGCCCTGAAGCTTAAGGCAGCGTGAATCCACTTCATAAGGTTAAAACATCTGTCAGACTGGGAAATTGTTAAGCCTCCCACTCCTTCCCAGGGTGTTTGGGGAGGCAGGGAGCAAGTCCCACACTATCCAAAGCTGCTAAAGGGGTTCCTGCCACTGCTCCAGGAAAACCCACTTGGGTGTTGACAATAACAGGCACACAGAGAAATGTTTTCTTCTGTCACAGTGGAGGAGCAAAGCTGCGCATTTTCAATTTTTTTTTTCCTTAGGAAACTGTGGTCATGTAAAATAAATTAATATAGACAAGCAGATAATAATTAGTGTTTTATCATGAAAACAAGATTTGTTGAGTCCATCTCTGTTGGGCTGGGCTCTAGGTCCAAGAATTTAGCATTATAAACTTTTACATGCTCTGAATCCCTTTCAGTGCAGGAAAATAAATCCCCACTACTTCATTATGACACTCCTGGTGAGTTAATAAATTGAAAAAAATTGTTAAACTAGGTTTTTGTTGTGTTTTGTGAATCTTATCTATGTAGCCATGTCACCCGAGATTAGAACAAGAGATATGCTAAAAAGAAACGCTTGCATATGGTGGGTAGATTAAGGACAAAGAATCTTTTTGTCATGGAAATGGGGGTTTTTCCCCCCTTTTTGGGGGGGTTTTGTTTTGTTTACTTCATCACATAGAATTTCTCACACTTCGTTTGTTTTGTATTGCCCTCAATGACTACATGATCAAATGAATGGATTTATTTCTGCCGAATGAGAAAGACAGTCTTTCCATCAAAAGGACTACATTGCATCCCAGTGAGGAATTTTAAAGCGTTATTATTGTGGTCCCTGAATAGCACAAAATCGGCTTTCACAGCAGCCCTAAAATGCAACAATGTAAAAATACTTTTCAGCCCTAGAAAGCTGTTATCAAAATGTACTATGTTTCCTTCTATTAAAACATATTTTAATTAATAGAGTAAAACCCTTGATGGCTAACAATTAACAAGCTAAAGTTGGATTTGCACTTTCATTTGAGAAATGTGAACAAGGTGGAGACAAGCTACAGGAACAGAGGGCTATCTAGTGCATATTAGTGTAATGTAAATCATTTACACGTTGTATTGGAAAGCCTAACGATTGCCATACTTGAAAGCAATTTTATAGGCCAGATATAATGAAAGTTCCAAATCTCGTGAATTAAAGCACTTCTTATCAAGTCAGTGTTCTTCGTTTCTGTTCACAGCTGTGATCAAGATATTGCTACAGTTCCTGAGTATATTTTGCAACAGGCCAAAAATAGTTCACACAGTGCAAGAATATTTGTCATTTTAAGAAAGCAAACTGTTTAAGCAGTATTATTTCATATGTGTAGCCTTTTCGCTCATTTTGCTCCTTGTCTCCAAAGGAGTCAATGCAAGACTAAGCAAATGAAGTTTAGTATTAATTTAATGAAATCATGTTTAATCTCACCTCAAAATAGATTTTGTAAAATAAAGCATTTAAAAATTAGTGTCCCATAAATATAATCCTCACAGTGAAGGGACATTCATAGCAACAGAGACAAACATGGAAGTTTGGGGAGCAGGATGGAAGACAAAAATTAGGCCAGGTTTTAAGTTGACTGGTCACAGCAGAACTTTCATGCTAATGTTATCACAAAAGTTTTAGAATCTAAACAAATAATTTTATAGCCAGCTTGGGCTACAGCATAACAAGACTGCATTCAAAAAGGACATTATCATGGTGGCGAGAAACTGTTGGAAATCTGAAGACAATTAGTATGTCATCAAGTACGGATATACACTCGAAATTGTTTGAAATTGTTAATCAAAAGTGAAATGCTAAAAATATATTTTTAAATAATTTTGAAAAGAAATGTTAACAAACAGCTGATGGTGATATATTTCTTGAATAATTGCAATGTAGAAGAGTGAACAAAAATAAGTATTTAAACCCCCACAATTTGAGGTTGTTAAATGAGAAGATCTGCTGGAAATAATTTATAAACAGCAGCAGCAGGACTCAGATGACTGCCTGTACAATACAATAATCTCAGTTTCTCAGTAAATGTAATGCATTGTAATAGCTGGAATTACATTTCTAATACACTTGCCTAATTCAACAGATTACAAATGAATCAGAATTGTAGATACAATAAACATTCTTCAACTCCATTTAATTCTAAAATTAAACCATAGATATAGCGTTTGTATTTTTAAGGTAGTGGTAATAGAAAGTATTTCGTTTGTTTGTGGGGATTTTGCTTTTTTTTTTTATTTATTTTGGTTGGTTTTTTGGGTTTTTTTTTGTTGGTTTTTTTTTTTTTTTTGGTGCTGAAGAGTGATTCTTAGAGTGTGCAGGTGAGGTTCTGGTAAGAGTGATGACAAATGGTGCTTTGGACTTCTTCATGTGAAGTTTCTGGCAAAGATGTATTATTGTTTTGCCTGAGGTGGAAGGGATACCTTGTAGTGAGCTGTGTAAAAAGAGTCTTCTAATGTGCTTTTTTCAGTCATTTTTTAAAATATTGGACCTCTTTTTTCTCCCACTTCTCAATACACACAGTATAGTCTAAACTAATTGATCTGTTTCATCTTGGTAAAGTGGGAATGGGTTGTGCAGTTTTGGGCAGTTTGGTGACAGCACTTAGTATTCTTCCGGAGTATGTACACAGACACACAGGCTCAGCTACAGAAAAGACACAGTTCAGTATGTGGCTGCCAGCCTCATGCAAGTGTGGTCACTCCATCTGCATATATAGGGAGGGTTAAAACAAATTTTGGGGGGACATTCCTCTGTGTGAAATTGAGGTATTCTCTATTGCTTAGACACTGTTGCATTTCAAACTTGAGAAGTCACAAGCAGCCGTTAGCAAACGTAAGACTTATGTGGTTTTTGCAAATGTTTGTTCTGAGGCAAGTGTAAGAGAAGGCTTTTTGTTTTGAAAAAAAAAAGGCCAAATTAGTATGGCTATAAATTGTCCCTTTGATTAAAAATGGTAATTGATACTTTATATAAATACTTTTGCCATTACAGTAGAGACTTCACGTCCAAACTATGTAACATCTGTGTTTGTGTAATTTTAAAAATACTCTACACTGAATTGTGTTTGCCATAGAAAAATATTTGGAATAATAAGGAAACTACAGCAATCGGCCAATTTGCTGATGTGTGTATAACAATGGAAGTAGACAAAACTGGGTCACATTTTACCTAGTGATGCTGGTCTTGAAGTCTTACCATCTACTGAAGCAGACATTAAGACACTTTTTTCAGAGTGAGAGGGAGGAAATTTTGAAGGGTGTTTGTTTAAATTCTGTGTAACTAAGTTATTAATATGCATGCATTTAGCTGTTGAAAATTACTTTTCCTTGCCTAAGACAGAGGAAAAGCTACAATTCAAAAAACTTGTGGCATTAGAAAAAGTGTAAAAATAAACTAATTAATGAAGAGTATTAGTGCCATTCGAAAAATAGTCTGAGTCCTG